TGGGAAGGCCATCCAGTTGTGCCTGGAGGGTTTGTGTGGCTGATTTGGTTTCTGTTGAGCTCCTCATCAGGCTGCTTTTGCAGAAGCCATCTTGATAATGTCCAAACTTTGCCGAGCTGCTGCCCATGCCAGGAACCCTGGCCCTAGCACAGCCTGAGGCTGCGGCTTGCAAATACAATGCTTCATCTTGGTCCAGGTAGACTTCCACTTGAGTGCTGGAGCACTGACCACTGGGATTGTCACAGCATTATAGAATAGCTTAGATTGGACGGGATCTTCAGGTTCATCCAGCCCTAACCCCATGGCAGGGCAGCCCCCCACCAGCTCAGGCTGCCCATGATCCCATCCAGCCTGACTTTGAGTGCCTCCAGGGATGGGGCGCCACAGCTTCTCTGGGCAGCTGTGCCGGCTCATCTTCTTGTGTTTGGGTGCTTGGGTGCTTATGTTTTATGTCCAACCAATGTGTTGAACTCTTCTAGCTGGTAAAAAGCTGATGTTGGTGTATTGTACCCAGCTCTGCAGCACCAGCTGTATGCTGTTCTCTCCACTAATTCTCATGAATACCTTTGCACAGATGTATTTATTTACACACAGAAAAACAAACTGCTCTTGCAGCCCCATGATCGGTGAACATTTTAATTACGATGATGGTAATTCTAGCTCACTAACAGGCTGTTTATCTTACCTCTACTCCTGCAATAGCCATTTATTTTATGTTCTTTTAAAGGTAAAAAGACTAACTGCTCTGCAGATATGCTTGTCTGCTTTAATTAGTCTTCCTTAAGCTGTACAAAGAGAAACTGCACTTAATTAGCTAACCTGAAATTAGGATTGATATTCCAGCCTATGTGCATGCTGTCATTACTGTCCAATAAATGGAGCACTCTGTTCTGCAGATTTTTTTTCCCCAGATGGTTGATATGCAAGATGGCAGATGGAGCCAGAGCGCGAGCTTTGCCTTCAGCAGTGTTTAAAGGGCTTTACAGGGTGTGGGTCCACCCTGGTCCTACTAAACTCTTGTAGGCATGGCCCACTTCCAGTACACAAACCTCTGACCATGGGGAGGAGGGGAAAAGGTTTAATTTTTTCTTCCATTGGCAGAAACTCCGTGCCAGTGCAAGTCCACCTCTGCAGGCCTGCATTAAACATATGTTTTGGACCCAACATCTCCCATAAAAAGTGGAAGTTTCCACCTTGGAGTGTTTGTGTTCAATCAATCTGTGGAGGCTGGGGGTTCTCAGAGAGACGTATTTATCTTGAGCCCTTTTCAGCGTGAAGGCTAGAAAATCTCTTAACTCTGTGTGTGTCTCTATCTCCTCAACCAGTTTCCTCTAACTAACCAAGTTGTGTGTATGTTGGAACGAACAGACTTGGAACATCTCATTACTTTTACAAAGTATGTTTTGACAATTTGAAATGAGTAAAACAGATTTTTTATGAGGTGCAATGACAATGAGAGATGGCTCCTTCAGGGCTTTCAAAGAAGGGGGAGGGAGGAACGATGAGACTTCTTAATCCACACAGTCACCTTGGCAGCCCTCCAGGAGCTGGGGGCAGCTGCCAATTCATATTTACCTGTGGTCAATGCAAATATGCATGCGTGCAGCCATGATATTTGCTTATGCTTAAGCAACGTCTTTGTTAGCAGGTGCATAAAAAGTTCTGTTGCCTTGAGGTTTGGTCACACAATCACGGCAGGTTGGGTTTGTTATTGGTTACGCTCAGAAATGTGGTCTGATCTTTGGGCTGCAGCCTTGGGGGTATTGTGTGGCCAGTGGAGGAATTTGAATGGCTCCTTCCCCTTCACAGGGCCACATAGCTGGGAGCAGTGCTATTTCTTCACCCCAATGGTTCCAGATGCGCTGCACTGCAGCAGGTGCCAAGGGAAGGGGACGTTCTGCAGTGCAGGGACATCCCTGGAGGCGTTCAAGGCCAGGTTGGTTGAGATCCTTGGGCAGCCTGAACTGGTGGTTGGCAGTGCTGCCCACAGCAGGGGCTTGGAACTGCTTGATCTTCAAGGTCCCCTCCAACCTAAAACTTTGTATGATTTGCACTGCCCACACCCAGCCTTTCCTCCCAGCCTGCCCCTCATGCGCCCTGGGACCAGAGGTGGGTCTGAAGCTGTTGGAGATAACAGGCGATACTGGTAGGGCTGCAGGAAAAGCAAGAGCCGATAGCAGAGTATATGCCTTCCTCTGGGAGGAGCACATGCAGGGCTGCTGCACTCGTGCCCAGCGCTGTGCTCCCATCGCTCGGCAGATTGTTTTCTTTCCCACATGCCAGTTCCTATAGCCATCTGAAACCTCTCCAGCCATAAAATCTGAAAACCAGAAATATAACTCATCACACTTAATAATGCAATTACTGGTAAGCAGGCTTCACTTAGAAGACTTTAGTCAGGTGTACTGCTTTGTGCCAGAATTATCTCACTGCTGTGAATTTTGAGCTCTGTTTGCAAATCAGCTTCACTTGTCCCTACCTGGATGTTGGCTCTGCAGTATTTCTGCAGTCCTCATGCCAAGGAGTATCATTCCCTGTGTTACTTGCTTGGTGACTTTCTTACCTCACTTTCTGCAGTCTGTGCCCAGAACAAACTGCCTGTGACAAGCTACAAGTTCAAGTCCCTTGAGCAGTTTTAAAGGAGGAAGGGAACTGTGCCTGGTGCTAAAGCGTATCCCAGCTGTGCAGTGAGCAGAAGTGCTGGTGAGAAATGCTACATCAGGATTTGTCTGGACCCCACTTCTATTCTGCATCTGTGAGCTTAAGTATGTCCGGCTGAGAGCTGTGGCTGTGCCTGTGTGCTATGCAGCTGGGAGCAGGGCCAGTGTGTCCCAAACACAGCAAACCATGCCCTGGGTGCTTTGTGGGGGGGCCAGGTGCCCCCCAGCCCACTTCATGCATTCTGAACGAGCCACCACCATCCTCTGCAGCGGGCTTCCTTGGCCAAACACAGCTCAGTGAAGCAGCCCGTTCCTTGCTACCATTGTATGAATGTGTTCAGAATTTGGCACCCGCAGATTTATGCTCACTTCTTTCCAGGGCAGACTGCAAATATGTGCTTTGTTGAAACCAATCTGCTAATCTTTAAACTGCCTGGAGCTGCAATTCTCAATGGGTGGCAGGCGCTTGTGGTTACAGGCCCGAACATCTGGGATAAGCTATCTATTCCACTGACACAGGAACACATGCTCTTTGAAGAAGTTCTTTAACCTTTTTCTTGATCACTTGTCAGTGTAAAGCAAGCCATTAGTTTCTGCTCAGCGCTGTCTGCTTTTCTAAATTGGGTAACTTAAAGGAAAATTTACTAGATGTGTCACTGACAGGTTGCTGTTGCATTTATACCTGGAGTTGGTGGGACCTGGAGCATGGGCACATGCATGCTGGCACATATGTGCCTGCAAACTACTTCTTCTATGCGTCTGTCTTTGTATCTGCCTGCAGACTTGCATCCCTGGAGAAAGCAGTACTTTATGGAAAAGGTATCCCGAAATTCCAATCTTAAGTGACTTTGATAGCAGCCTTTCAGTGCCTAAGGGGGCTGTAAGAAAGAAGAGGACAGAATCTATAGCAGGGTCTGCTGTGACAGGACAAAAGGAAATGATTTGAAACTAAAAGAGGGGAGCTATAGACCGGATGTAAGAAGGGTTTTTTTACACTAAGGGAAGTTAGGCACTGGCACAGGTTGCACAGAGGGGGTGGGTGCCCCATCCCTGGAGACACCTGAGGTCAGGCTGGATGGGGATGTGATGGAGCTGTGGGTGTCCCTGTTCAGTGCAGAGGGTTGGGTTCTATGAGGCTGTGAAATATTTACGGAAGCGAGGGCGCTTGCAAGCCTTTAAAAATCAGTTGATTTCCGCTGCTGGATAGCAAAGCAACAACAGATCAAAGTCCCAGTGTAGTTGAAAAGATTTTATATCTTTCAGCATCACAATCTCTAATTTATTTGGATGCATGAGAAGGATCAGAAAGTAACGTGCATCTGGGGATTAAAGCCGCTTTGCTACTCATTCTAGCTAGCACATCCTGAAAGATTTTCAAAGTCTCAGAAGGGAGTGAAGTGCTTTAGTGATTTTTATGTCTTTGAAAATCTCTGTTTAGTTTCCCTGGTGGAATTTCATAAATACACACTGCTAGCTGTCTGATGCCAATAGATCCCACCCAGGGCAGGTAAGCACCGAAGTGACAGGGCTGCAAAGGTAGGCATTGCTGTCACCGTGCGAGCAGCCATGCGCAGAGGTGAAGACCTGATAATGCCTTGTGACACTTGCTCCTTTAAAAGTTTGCTGCAGTTTTTGCTCCCACCTCTCCTACCCTCTGAGTCTGTTGGTGGCCATGCAATCAGAGAAAGAGATGTGTTCTCTTTGTACCTCTCCCGAAGGGAGTTGCCACCCCGAGCCATGACTTTCCGCCTTGAGATATGACATGCAACATAGGTGTTATAAAGTACTGCAACCTTTGAGTGTCTTTACACGCTCTCACTTGTTCCTGTGCAGGTCACTTAGTAAATGTGTCACTTGCTCCATGCTAGCGGTGCTTGTGGAGTTACTGATGTCCCAGAATGTGCTCTTATGCATGGCAGTGTGGGTTATTTGTGTTTAATTTAGCTTTGCAACTGGGAAACATCTATTCTTCCACTAGCTGCAAGGCACAAAGACTTTTTCTTGCTTGTTTCTTCAGAGAGAACTTGATGGGATCAGTTGTTTACTTTTTGTGGAGGAAAATCGGTAATGAGATGAAAGCTGTTACAAGCAAACAGTTCTGCCAAAAATAAAAATTAAAATCAGCAACCAAAAAACCCACAACATCAAGGAGTATCACTTCTCCAAAACCTTATTTTAGATTAGATCTAGGCTTTCAGATTAGTTTGAAGGTGTTTCAGCAGTCTGAGTCTTCTGAAAACGTCGTTATTGTTGTCTGGATGTCTCTGGGCTGTGTGTTTTGATGCCTTCTTCATGTCTGGAAGATAAATTTTCCTTTTTTTTTTTTTTTTTCTTGGATAGGAAAGAATGCATTTTCACCATCGACCCATCAACTGCCAAAGATCTTGATGATGCTTTGTCCTGTAAACAACTCCCTGACGGTATGAGATATATTTTACAAAATACTGCTCAGTGTTTATATTCAGCAGCTGACACACTCATATATGTAATTTGTCATGAAGTATTCTTTACCAAATATGAGTAAATGTTAAACTGGTTTTCTCCTATTGTTTTAACTGTCTGTTTTCAGAAATTGTAGAGCAGATCTCTTCAAACTGCAGTCTGCAGTGATATTGATGTCAGGAAATGCAGAAACCACAGTATTTTGCATAATCGAAGCTGTGATTTCATTTGAGCAGATCTCAGCTGCCTCCTGTCACTCCTGGGCTTATAGCAGAGTAGCTCATGTGCCACTCCTGCATACTGAAGCCTAGGAGTAGTTTGACCTGGAGTGCATAGTCCCCGAATAAAGGAACCTTGTTTTTGAAGGTCACTGGGGCTGCATTGCTTCTCAGTGTTTGTTTATGGGATGCTGAGAATAGTCAGATGAGCAGAGTGTGCCTTACAAGTTGTGCTCTTCTTCTCGTTGCCTTTTAAGTTTTCTGTACTGCCTTATTTGTGCTTTTACTATGTCATAAGCCAGCAGAACAGAAAGTGAAGCTTCAGAAGCCAAGTCTTGATGATTCCGACTGAAGGAACTTCACTCGTGTAAGCTTACATTGCTATCCAATTCTGCTCATTTAGTTTGATGAGATCCAGTAACAGGCTTGGTTTAGAAATAGTGCATGGTTTGATTAACACATCTACAAATAATGAAGAAGATAAAGTGACTTTTTTATGTGTTTGGTTTTACTTGTTATTAGTGATCATGATATGATGATATCAGACATGGCTCTCTGGTTTTGATTGCGTTCATTCTGTGTAATGTGGCCAATGAATATTCATGTCATTTAGAGCTTGTTACAGAATAGCATTACAGGGCTATAGAGATGATTAAAACAAACAAACAAAAAAAAACAGTTGAAAGAAAATTTGAGGCTAATAAAATTATTCCTAATTGTATTGTATGATAATCAATTTTGAGGCCAGGGTAAGGAAAAATTGTTGTTCTATCTCACTGAAAGTTTATACAGTCTCACTGAGAGTTCCTAAACTTAACTCTGCCCTTCCTCTTTGCATTTTATCATCTCAATTATCCATAGATCTATGACTACGTTAGTGATCCTGCAGTCACTCAGAACAAAGACACTGAAACCCTGACATCTGAGACTCTACCAATCACACCTGCATGGGTTGTAGGTGCAGCATGAGAACGTTCATTCAGCTTTTTTGTGGTGCATACGCCTGTGTTTTTCCCTTATCCATCCTTATCTCATCCCTTGGAGAACATGTTCAGGGAAAATAGCTGTTCAGGCAGGAATTCTTCCTTTCCAGAGACTGCGTTGCTCGTGCCTGGGACTTGGTGCCAGTGCATTAGGGATCATTGCCACTTGCAATGTCCAAGGGGCATCTAGACATGATTGGGCTATTGCCCATGTGTTCTTGATTGCAAAAAAATCCCCCTGTGAGGCTGAGTAATTTGTCAGCAGTGCTGCCACACGTGGCTTCATCTATGGAACCTCTTTGGAACAAGTGCATCTCATGGAATCAAACCAAGGGAAAAAGAAAATGGGATTAAAAGAGAGCGAGAGAACACCCACCCAAGTTTTCATTGGCCTTGTTATTTCAAAGGTCATCTCTGATGTGTTTATCTGTAGAGGACAGAGGTTGCGGACAAAGATCATACTTCCTTTTTGAAGAGACCTGAAGAAACCCTGGAGAAATCAGGGGCAGGGCATAGCTGACTTTCTGAGAGTAAAACTGAAGGTTTGCGTGGCTTGTATCTAAAATTTATGGAGTGGGAAACCTGCCCTGAGTGACATGGCTTGGTGCTATGGCGGTGATGGGTTGGTGGTTGGACTAGATGATGTTAGCGATCCTTCCAACCTCAATGAATCTGTGATCCAGTGAAAGTTTGCATCCCTCCCAGGAGCACTGTGCACATTCCCCTTTCCTGCACGTGAGCCTCAGATGAGTAAATCCAAGAGGCAGATAAGTAAATTCAAGAGAGACAAGTGCATCCCCCAGCAGAGGCAGTCCCAGCCCATAGGCCCTCTGTTAAGCCCCACATATTGTTTTCCACAACTCATCAGATGTGATTAAGAGCCCTCTGGAGGATCAAAACTAGTTCAAAACTAGTGCTGGAGGTCCTTTGGGTTCACTTGCTTACGAAGCTCATTCTGTTTGCAGCCCTTGTGTTAAGGAGAGCTCTTCTGGGAATCTTAATCTTGTGCATACTGGAGCTTCTTGATGCATTTTGGAGGATTTCTGGCTTTAAAAGTTGTTATACTAGCTGCAATTATTATGACAAAGAGTTGTTTTAGAGGTTAAGAGCTCATCCAGGGCTGGCAAGCTTTCATGTCTCATGAGGACAAAGTTGTGTTAAGAGTTAACAGAGCTTTTATTCCAAACGTAAATCTGGTTACAAGAAATTATTATTTTTTCCATCTTTTTTGCCCATATGTTAAACACTTAAAAAAAATTAAAAAAAAAAGAAAAGAAAAGAAAAAAAGAGAGAGCCAGCATGAACAAACCGCATATCTGGCATCCTCATGATGTCAGGAGATCTCCAGAAATCAACAGAAAATGCAGTACCCGATTCAGAAAATGCCCCAAATGACCCAAAATAAATGCAAGCAAAAGACTTTACTCACACTTTCCCTACCAAGCACCAAAATGAATGCATTTTGGCTGATTTGGAAGAATGAAATTGTCCTCAAACATTAATTACTGATTTATTCAATATTGTGGCAGTTTCTTTGCCCTGAAGCAGAGATGTGGGTCTATTTGTGCACCTTTTCTTAGTTTTAAAACTTTTCAGTGTAACAGTTATCTGTTCTGGTCACTGGATGGAGGACTTCCCTATGCTACATATTCCGTAAAAGGTAAACCTTTTTTTTGCAAAAGTAATCCATAAGTCTGTCATAAAGTACTACCCAGTAGCAAAGGAAGCATGGGATGACTGAGGAAAGAGCTTTATTTTTAATGGAGCTCATAGTAAGATACTGCAGCAGTTGGAAACTTTACAGGGATATATGTCATAAGTGGGCCAATCTGGTTTTGAGAGGATTTTATATTGAAGTCTGCTTTTGATTAACTGTCGTGCTCCTCGTTATTGTTTAATGATATGTGTAGGGAGGTACGCTTGCTGTTTGCACTTGTGAGTGTATATTTTAAGAGATCAGCTCCAATAAAGAATGAAAATAGGGTTATTTATGTAACAGCTTTAGAAATATGAACGAGCTGTTCTCCATTTAGATGACTCAGCATAATCTTGGAGTAGGAGATGGATCTGGACGGCAGCAAGTTTCTGCAGCATTTGTAGAGTTGTTTCAGGATAGCCTGAGGTTTTAAGCAAGTTCATTTCAGTCAATGCTCCTTTGTGATCCTTTCTGCACGTATTCTAGTGAATGACTGCAGCCAGGAGCGCACCACAGAGCAGCTCTCAGTTTGAACAACGGCTGTGGAGCGTTCACAGAAAGCAAATGTATGGCTTTGGAGCCTGAGTGCTTTCCTCTGGAGTGCAGAAGTTTGAAGATTTATGCTGATCTTATCGTGTAAGAGCATGCCATGTGACCTGCATGTCCCAGTGGAACCAGGCAAGTTCCATACACTTGCCAAACTTCTCCTGGGAATTACTTGTAGGTGTCATTTGATGTATTTCTGGTAACACACACGACTGATGCAGTCATATTGTGCTTGAAAGCTTCTAACCAGTAGAAACAGAGGTGAAATTTGACAAATTTAAAGGCAGACAATTCTGAATTCCATCTATTGAAATTTCAGGCCATGACAGGAAAGGAGTTACCTGGAATTATTGGGTGCATTTCAGAGGAGTTGTCTCACCTACGTGCGCATCTTCCAGTGCTGATTTCAAAGAAGTACTGGCAGCATCTTGGTACATCTTTTTGTGTGTTTATTGATGACTAATGTGGTCCTTGCCTTTCTTTCATTCCTGTATGCTTACCATCTTTCAGAGAGTAATTCCAGTTTTAAGTAATTTAAATCTCACTGTGGGAGGAATCGTTGTACTGCAGAATAGAAATACATTTTGCAGGTTGTTTGTTTGACTTCTTTTTTCCTTAGTGACGTTGGTCTTCTGTATTTTGGAGTGAGGTCAGATACAGATACGTTCATTGAATTCATATTTTTACCTGAGGACCTAAGCAAATGAGCTTTCTGCAATATGCTGCTCCCTGTTTTTTCCCTTTCCTTTAAATTCATTCACCCTGTTGGTGAATTCAAATCAAATATACCTAAGGGGAATGCAAAGACACTGTGTTTCTTCAAGTATCATGAAAATGGGATCTGAGCAAAGAGGGGAGATTCACTTAGTGACCCAAATTTGGGAAAAGCGCATCATGACCTTTGTCCTTAGCAGACATCTGAGAGTGAGATGTGTGACTCACATCTCTGTTCAAGGAATATTTTCCATGTATGATGGTAAAGTTATCCCTTTTTTACTGCAAGCCTAAAGAAAAAGCTTGCTTTCCATGGACCTCATGGACACATTAAGACATCCCTACTGCATGAGCTCCAGTGTCTTGCACTGAAATAGGCCTGTAGAGCCCTGGTAGCCCCAAGATGTTCTCTGCCATTTCAGGTGAACGCTTGCTTTTCCTTTCCTTCCATCCTTGTTCTTTCCCAAAGCAGATTACAAACACGTGAGGACCAAGTTGGTTTTGTTTTGCAAAGTTATGCGCACTTATTGTTTTAAGTTGTAAATAATCCCTCTGATTTAGTTTTGTCCCTCTAGCCACATAAGTACTGTAGGGTGAAATTTGCTGCAGCGACACTTGATGCAGAACCCTTCAGCTAAGCTGTTTGGTTTCTGCGGCATAGGCTATAGGAAGAATTTGTAATTAGAGTCTTGTGAGCTGATTTGCTGAAGATAAACACTGAAGAGTGGACTAGTGTTGAATCAAAAGTTATATTATGGATTAGTATGCTTTCTTCTCTGTAAGGTAAGTGTGTAAGATGAATAGCTACCAGACATGGTTTA